GAGCCCCCAGAAATTGTATCCAAATTATGTTCAAAATTTGATTATCATTGAAGTGAAAAATTTTAAAGGAGTGTAAAAATTTAAAAGAGTTTATCAAAAGAATCAAGACTATGTATCTGTATATCTATATATTTGGAAAACAGTTTCAATGAGTCACAAAAACATTGATATCAAAATTTTGATTTGGAACCAGAAGCATATTTCCAATGATAATAGCATATTTTCCATCATAGGTTACACAGAATAATCTGAGAATGAATATGGAGAGCTTACGTCAAACTGAGTCCATGTACATCAGGTTTTCTCAACTAACAGAGGAAGCAAATAACAAACATCATTCAAAACTACAACAGACTAGTTATCTATAATGAAATCCAAGCATGGTAAATATTATTTAATGAAATAACAAATCTATTAGTTAGTCCATTCCCAAGTTGATCTGACATAATGGAAAAGTTATTTATTCAATAGAAGCCAGGTAAATGGAAAATATTTTTTTCTATTTGCTATATAAGCCTGAGTGCTAATGCCTTGGGAACCCATCCATATGGACATTAAGGTTCCTTTGTTTATGATTTTATCTGAAAAGGTTTTTCTTCTGCTCTATTTTATTTTGAGTCAGCTCTCAAAGTCATTCAGGTATTAAAGAATGACTTTATAGATTTTATCAGGAAAAACTTTGTATAGAGTAGTATGGAAAAAATCAGTCACATCAGAACAAAGTATTCATGAATATTTCTATCAATTAATCAATTCCTGTTATGAGCAAGGGTTTCTTCTAATTTTCAATAATATCATAAATGATCATGTTGAAGACATATACTGGTATAGATTTTCATTAACCATATGTTTTGGACAAACATATTTGTAAACAGATCTTTTTATTACAAACAAGTACAGATGCTCTCTGACTTACAATGGGGTTACATCCTGATAAACCCATCCTAAGTAAAAAATATCATAAATGTAAAATGCAATTAATACACTGATAAGCCCATTGTGAAGCCAAACAACATAAATCAAACAACATAAATAAATTGGGGACCATCTGTATAAACTATATCTCATTATATGAGATTCCCCATTTATACCCTTTTCTCTTTAATTTTCTTCTCCAACCACCATAAAGAAATAGAAAAATACAACCCCATCAAAAAGTGGGCAAAGTATACGAACAGATACTTCTCAAAAGAGACATTTATGCAGCCAATAAACATGAAAAAAAGCTTATCATCAGTGGTCATTAGAGAAATGCAAATCAAAACCACATTGAGATACCATCTCACGCCAGTTAGAATGGCAATCATTAAAAAATCAGGAGAAAACAGATGCTGGAGAGGATGCGGAGAAACAGGAAAGCTTTTATATTGTTGTGGGAGTGCAAATTAGTTCAGTCATTGTGGAAGACAGTGTGGCCATTCCTCAAAGATCTAGAAATAGAAAATACCATTTGACCCTGCAATCCCATTACTGGGTATATACCTAAAGGATCATAAATCATTTTATTATAAAGACACATGCACACATATGTTTATTGCAGCACTGTTCACAATAGCAAAGACTTGGAACCAACCCAAATGCCCATCAACGATAGACAGGATAAAGAAAATGTGGCACATATACACCATGGAATACTATGCAGCCATAAAAAAGGATGAGTTCATGTCCTTTGCAGGAACATGGAGAAAGCTAGAAACCATCATTCTCAGCAAAATGACACAAGAACAGAAAACCAAACACACATGTTCTCACTCTTAAGTGGGTGTTGAACAATGAAAACACATGGACACAGGGAGGGGAACATCATACACCAGGGCCCATTGGAGGGTGGGTGACTAGGGGAGGGATAGCAGAGGGGTGGGAGGCTAGGTGAGGGATAGCATTAGGAGAAACACCTAATGTAGATGACAGGATGATGGATGCAGCAAACCACCATGGCACTTGTATACCTATGTAACAAACCTGCACATTCTGCACATATACCCCAGAACTTAAAGTATGATACTACTAATAATACACACACCAAAAAAAATTAACCAGGAGTGGTGTCAGGTGCCTGTAATCCCAGCTACTTGGGAGGCTGAGGGAGAAAAAAAAAAAAAAGAAAGAAATAGAGCAATCCAGTGGCAAAATAAAAGAACTATTCTGGGCCAGGCATGGTGGCTCACGCCTGTAATCCCAGAACTTTGGGAGGCTGAGGTGAGTGGATCACAAGGTCAGGAGCTCAAGACCAGCCTGACCAAGATGATGAAACACCGTCTCTACTAAAAATACAGAAATTAGCCAGGAGAGGTGGTGCAAGCCTGTCATTCTAGCTGCTTGGGAGGCTGAGGCAGGAGAATAGCTTGAACCTGGGCAGCAGAGGCTGCAGTGAGCCAAGATCGCACCACTGCACTCCTCCGGCCTGGGCAACAGTGAGACGTCTCAAAAAAAAAAAAAAACTATTCTGCCATTCATATCACAAAAGATTGATGTTAAGAAAATAATTCCTAGTGAGTTGATTAATTGGACCTAAAAATTAAAAAAAAAAAAAGAAAAAAAATAATTCCTGGTTGGGCACGGTGGCTCATGCCTGTAATCCCAGCACTTTGGGAGGCCAAGGCAGGCAGATCACCTGAGGTCGGGAGTTCAAGATCAGCCTGACCAACATGGAGAAACCCCATCTCCACTAAAAATACAAAATGAGCTGGAGGTGGTGCATGCCTGAAATTCCAGCTACTCAGGAGGCTGAGGCAGGAGAACTTCAACCCGGGAGGTGGAGGTTGCAGTGAGCCAAGATTGTACCACTGCACTCCAGCCTGGGCAACAAGAGTGAAACTCAGTCTCAAAAAAAAAAAAAGAAAAAGAAAAAAGAAAAGGATTCCTAAAAGCCAATGAAAACAAATGATATCACAAGTCCTTTTGTGAAGTAATTAAGACATAAATAACAATAAAGGAAAATTAGTTGAGAAGCACAGTCCCTGCAGATACTACTTCTCTGATGAGGCTTTCTGAAAGCATCACAGATTCAATCTAGAATTTATAATCCTAGAGGTCCAGCGACTATCCAGAGGAAAATGTTAACTCTGAATCAAGTAATTGCGCAGTCAAGAGGCCTAATGTGCTCAATGTCTAGATAGTACATAACAAGAACTATTTTAGGTGCATAGGAAAGAAAATTCGTAACACCATAACACTAAACGGCTTATCTTGCAGAACCCTAGATGAGAAAGGTTGCTTGAGAAGGTGTTTGTTCATATATGTGGAAATAATTAACCAGTGATGTGGTAAACAGATGACTGCTAACTAGAAATCCATCACTATGTAAACAATTGTGTGGATTTCTGAAAACTTTTATTTCGTATACTGTTATTTTTGTCAGTTTTTTAGAGACGCTTTTCCGATATGATGATTTTAATCCTGTTACCCAGGCTGGAGTGCAATGGCGCCATCTCGGCTCACCGCAACCTCCGTCTCCTGGGTTCAGGCAATTCTCCTGCCTCAGCCTCCTGAGTAGCTGGGATTACAGGCACGCACCACCATGCCCAGCTAATTTTTTGTATTTTTAGTAGAGACGGGGTTTCACCATGTTGACCAGGATGGTCTTGATCTCTTGACCTGGTGATCCACCTGCCTTGGCCTCCCAAAGTGCTGGGATTACAGGCTTGAGCCACCGCGCCCGGCCTCAGTTCTTTAAATCCTCTTGTTAGAGCACCATTGAGAATGACTAGAATGCAAACCTTTATATAAGCCCACCTGAAAACGGTATGAAATCAGTGAAGGAAAAAAGAAACCCATTTTAAGTTTTAATTACAAATTCTTATCTAAGTATTGGTTTTACAGAACAGTAAATCAGATGTAAATGATTGAGAAATTTCAAGTTATGTAACAACGACTCTGAAAAAAGTGAGCTTCCTTCATACCTGAGTACCTGATGCTATCACAGACCTATTCCTTTTAGGCACCAATTATTTTCTCCCATCTATGCCAGCTGTTGTTATTAGGCATTAAAATTATTTCTTGCACCAGGTAAAGTCTCAAGCAGAAGAGGAGACTGGAAGTCAAAGATGACATTAAGTTAGCTTTCACAAACTTGTTTCCAACACTGTCCCGAGACTTTTCAGGGTCAGCCTGGTCTGGAAGCAAAACTCTATAGCGGCTGCACTCTGGGGTGAAGACATTGGCCTTTTATGCTCCAGCATCACAAGTCAGGGTACCTGGCTGCTGTACCAGCCCCCTGCTTAACATGACAAACTAATATGCCAAAGTAACCAGAAAGACATTCTCTACTGACTTTCCAGGACTGCAGAAAAAGTCACTTCATGCTACTGAAAATATAGCCTGGCATTTTTAAAACCTAGTTTTCGGATTACTTAAAATATGCCAAATTTAGCGTAAAATTGAAAAAGATCTTTTTCCTCTTCCTTATAGAGTTTTTCAATTTGCCCTAAGCCCTTTTTAAGCACTTCCAATAGCAACCATCAGGCCGACAGACCACAGACCCCTTTATTGCATTAACAAATATACTGGTAATTCCAGTGAGAGACTTAACAAATTCTCAAGAGTACCTCAGGACTTTTAAAGTCACATTTTAAAAAAAGTCATATTATAAAGTGGAGAGTATAAAATATTTTCCTATGTTGGCTCAAATATGCAGTAGGATAACACTTTTTTTTTTTTTGAGACGGAGTTTCACTCTTGTTACCCAGGCTGGAGTGCAATGGCGCCATCTCGGCTCACCGCAACCTCCGCCTCCTGGCTTCAGGCAATTCTCCTGCCTCAGCCTCCTGAGTAGCTAGGATTACAGGCACGCACCACCATGCCCAGCTAATTTTTTGTATTTTTAGTAGAGACAGGGTTCCACCATGTTGACCAGGATGGTCTCAATCTCTTGACCTGGTGATCCACCCGCCTCGGCCTCCCAAAGTGCTGGGATTACAGGCTTGAGCCACCGCGCCCGGCCGGATAACACTTTTAATGTGCTAGTAAGATGTGATAAAAACATAGGTCTACAATGAACATATGTGAAAAAGATATTTAATTGCAAAATAGAAAAGTAGGCCAGAGTACAGTTTTAAGGGTAATTGCTTCTTTATACAGTATAGATAACCTAGAGGGATTTTAGGGTTAAACATTTTCATAAAGCAATAAAACATTGAAAAAGAAAGAAAGAAAAAAGGTTTGAAGTAATGTTTTACCAAAAAAATAATAATAATAACAGTCTGCCAGTGTTTAATATCCATACATTGTGGAATTCAACAATATTGTGATGAGAGCAAGTCATAGCACAGACATTGAGCTTTCAAAGGGAAAAGCAGAAGCTACATTAGACATGTCTATTGCATCACTGTAGTACAAAAGTTCCTGTTCTACATACAAAAGCAATTTTTTTTCCGTAAGAATAATTTCCTGGGGAGAAATAAGTCCATAAAATATTTCAGAAACCCATATGCATTGAGTTTTCCAAAAACATTATCTTAAAATCCAGTGCCTTAAAGTGCTTACATGTGTAAATCATGATGGAAGGCACAGAATACAGTTTCACATCCCCACTATTAAATTTTCGAAAAAGCACAGATTTTGCAGAATTGGCAAATTCAAATTATCTTGCAGGCTGCTCCTTCCAAGAACATTGTCATTCTAATAAAACCAGATGCTAGCTTACTTAGTTTCAATGACCTACACAGTAAAGGGGTGGGTTTTGTTTTTGCTTTTTCCTGGTCACTTTCATCATTTTTGTGGGAGAAATACCTATAAAAGTGATGCATTTTGAAATTATAAAACATGCAGAATATGTACAAACAAAAAGTTTAAAAAATATTTGCTTCATATACATGTAAATCTACTTGGGTATAGCTGAAATTGAACAAATATAAAAATTTTACTTTCTAAAAAATGTTTTCAGAGAATCTGAGACAACTTAAAGCTGTACAAAGATTTCCTGGGAGAAATCTTCTCTTCATATAGAGGTTTATACCTACAGGAGTAATTCCAGCATCAGTCCACCATAATTATTACACAACATTTGGTCTAATCAACAACGATCACCCTTAAAACTGTTCTGTTTCTGAGAAATTAAGGTTTGTACTAAAATCAAAAAGAATTCACAAAAACAGTGGCTTATTGTGGTTTTGGATCTCTTCAACAATTATCAACTCATTTGGAACTGTAAAAAAAAAAACAAAAACTATTTACAGAATTCAGTTTTAAATACATTTCACAACTTCCAAAGTAAAGTTTTATGTTACAAGAATTCAGAGCTCATGGCTTAAGTCCAATTATCAATCTGTAGTCTCTTCTCTTATCCTGTATTCCCATGGCTGTACCTTTGTTGTGTACAGTTCAAGACTGTATTCTTTCTTGACCAAAAGTAAAATCAAACTACAAGTTTGTTTCAATTAAACAGCTTCTTTATTAGTCTGAAGACGAGTCATAGCTTCCAACTTCTGTCTGTAGGCCTCTGCTTCCTGTTCTTTCTTTAGAAGCTGCTGTCGATATTTTTGTGCTTCTCGATTTGCTTCATCCAGCTGTTTCTGAAGAGCTTCTCTCTCCTAATTAAAAGAAAAGGTTTTTTTTTTTAATTTTTGCAAAAATAGATTAACACATATAAGTATGCATCTTTCAAATTAAAAAATAAAACTGTAGTAGCTAACAGCAGCCACCTGTTGAAATTTCCTAGCCATCTTCCCTTTTCAATCAATTCACCAATATTTAAGTCACTAATTTTGTGCTCTACATTATGATATATGAATTAGTTTCTGACCTCAAGGAAATTATTTTTTTATTTAGAAATAAGACTGACAGAAAAACTCCAAACTGGGCACCTGTATCCTTATATGTACTATAAAAACTAGCAAAGAGTTTTTAAGGGTTTTTATACAACCACACCTCTTCGTATTTCCATTTGTGGTGGTCTTACCTAATAGTATAATTACAAATATACTATTAGGTAATAATGATTAAACAATTTTACTGAGCACCCACTGTATGAGTAAACAGGGTGATTTCCAACAATAAGCTTCTAAGACAGATATTCTACCCATGTTACAGATGAGGTCACACAGTAAGAAGTTGAATTTATAGGATTCTAATGTTACCGCTTTTAAAACTATTTTCATTTACAGTAGCAAGTAAGATAATTCACCTTTAAAATAAAGAGTGATGATCAAGATCAGTATTTCCTAAATATACTATTTCATAAACAAATAAAATACTAAATTATCAATAATTAAATTATATATGTACAAAATATGTAATAAATTCCCCAGTAAGTTGAGAGCTGATACACAAATCCAATCCAATGAAAATGGTATTCTTTCTCCTCTTCCTCCTCATTCTGCCCCTATTCAGTTATCACAGGAAAAACACGGAAAAGCATTTCAAAGAACCCATTCCCACATCTCTAAGTAAGCAGGACAAAAGTTCAACCTGCACAGACCAAAGCTCAAGGTCAGTTTCCATTGTCTTAGGAATGAACCAATCTCATCACACATGCACAGGACCTCTTAGTGGGGTAGAGGCCAGGGGTAGGACTATCACAAGAAAGGTAGGTCCACACTGGACAAGACACTTGGCCGGAGGAAACTAACGGTGAGTGGTTGGCAGACTGCTGGGGAAGCATGGTATGTGGTTCTCTTTATTCTGTATATCCACACTGCCTCCTTGACTCTTGCCTGTTTCGAGCACCAAAGGATTCCTCACCTTCACTATTCACATGGTTGGTCTACAAGGAGGAGCATGAATAATCCTCCTGCGTTTCTGTGATTCCACTTCCTGCTCCACAATAGTTTTTCCCATGGGCCCACCAGATATGGGAGTGATTCATTTGGAGACAAGTGGTTTCCAAATCTTCCAATTACACAAAATGTACAAGTAAAAGAAAGGAATATGCCTTACCCCCAATTTAAGCAATGCCCAGGCCCTATCCTGCTGCCTCCCTACACTTCTACTCTTCTCTTATCCTAACACTAGCCAAGATGATAGTGCAGGAACAAGTCAGAAAAGACACCCTAGGATAAGTCCAAGGTAATCAATCAATGTCAGTCCCCTGGCTACAAACTATGCAGGACTTTAAGAACACAAATGAAAGGGGTGAGGGGTGGAACGTTGGATGTTACTTCCCAGGAGCTAGACCCCACCTCTGGCAGGAGTGCCCATAGCCATGCATGTGTTTCAAAACTTTACATGTGGCTGAGCACAGTGACTCACACCTGTAATGTCAGGACTTTGAGAGGCCAAGGCATCGTGGATCACTTAAGCCTAGGAGTTGGAGACAAGCCTGGGCAACATGGCAAAATCTCTACAAAAAAATACAAAATTTAGACGGATGTAGTGGCATGCGTCTGTAGTCCCAGCTACTTGGGAAGCTGAGGCGGGAGGATCATTTGAACTCAGGAGGCTGAGACTGCAGTGAGCAACTCCACTGCACTCCAGCCTGGGTGACAGAGCAAGACTCTGTCTCAAAAAAAATAAACAAACAAACAAAAATGTACATGTATGTGAAAAATAAGATCAATCCTTTGGTAGTCAAAGTTTTGAACATGGGTAAAAATTTACCTTGATTAGCAGGAAATATTGGAAGAAGTTAACTTTAAAGTTAGTATTACCTATTTATTACCATTTAAAGTCAGGAAAGGATTCACAATTGTTGCACAAGATGAAAGCAAACCAAGTGAGGTAGTTTAACAGTGAAAACAGCTTAATTCTATTTTCCATATTGCATATTTTAATTTCAAGAAATACAATTTATCTTGATAAAAATGAAAACATAATACCCTTCTGCCTACTAGGTGAAATAAAAAACTCATTTTCACAGCATTTTTGGGCTAATTCTATAAAACCTAGAAGACAAAGATCATTAGCACTGCATGCTGAATACATTTAATCTTTAAGAATGAAAGTATAATGAACACTATAAAATTTTTAAGAGTTTTCACTATTTTACTTACTTCTCAGAAATATAGGTATTTGGGGAGAGAATCTTTTTGCCATCTCACTTTTCAAAGCAAATAAAAATACCTAAAAAGAGGAAAATATTACTCCCTTTTTTTTTTTTTTTTTTTTTTGAGACAGAGTCTTACTCTGTCACCCAGGCTGGTGTGCAGCGGCGTGATCTCAGCTCACTACAACCTCCACCTCCTGGGTTCAAGCGATTATCTGCCTCAGCCTCCCCAGTAACTGGGATTACAGGTGCCCACCACCATGCACGGTTAAATTTTGTATTTTTAGTAAAGATGGGGTTTCACTATCTTGCCAGGCTGTTCTTTAACTCCTGACCTCAGGTGATCCACCCGCCTCAGCATCACAAAGTGCTGGAACTACAGGTGTGAGCCACCGCATCCGGTCTTATTTTACTCAGGGATCCTTTGTTTCCAAATTTATTTGTCAAATGTTTACTGAACACGTATAACATGGAAGACACTTCCTTCAGTTAAACAGTAGTTTGGTTGTTTCACGCATAAATAGTGCAACAGACTGGCATTTGAGGTTTATATTTAAATAGAAATGCCAATCTTATGGCTTTCATCTTTTGCAATAAATCCACAACAAAAAGAATTTTCACATTTTTAAGTAAACATAGTTTAGCCTACCAATATGTAATACTAAAACATTTTGACCATAACAGTCTAACATTAAAGAATTCCAAGAAAAATACATCCTAATGATCATTAAGATTTGGTAGCAACAAGGAAAACATTTACCTTATGCTACAACTACAAATCCCAGCAATATATTATTACCATTACATTAGTAATGGAATAACAGAGCAAGAAAAGACTCAGTTTGCTTTTTAAATTTTAAACATGATTCTTGCATTCTGCTTGACTAGCAGCAATGACTGCTAACAGTTTTATCATTTTTTAATATATAATTTGCTAATATTCAAATTTATATTTTGCTTTTCCTGTTATAAAGCAAAAATGTCATTACAGTGATTTATCTTCTACCATACTTCATATAAATTTTAGAAGGATAATAATAGCAACTAATTTATTAAGCATTTACTGTATGCCACCCATTATACTAGTCCTTCACATGCCTTCTCATTTAATCCTAACAACAATCTATAGTAATGTAGGTACTGTTATCCCTTTTTACTGATGAGAAAGCTAAGTCTTGACAGGTTAAATAACTTGATCAAAATCACACAATCAGACAATTACAAAATAAAATTTAAATCTAAATTTGATTTCAGACCCACGTTCCTCACCACTAAATGTTTTTTAAAAGAGAGAAACTGGGAAGGGGTATGTGAGCTGTTTGCTTGTGTGTAAACATCAATTTTCTAACTGCTCTGGGACACACATGACAACTATGATTTTGTTTTTATAAACAAAGTTTTATTGAAATACAGCCACACCCATCCATTTTAAAATTGTCTATGACTGCTTTCACTACAATGGCAGAATTGAGTAGTTGACAAAGAGACTGTAGAGCCGATAAAGCCAAAAATATTTGGTACCTGGCCATTTACGGAAAAAAAAAACTTTGCCTTCTCCAGCTTTAGAAAAAAAGACTTATCAAAGTGATATGGACTGGGTGCTGGGCATGCAGTGGCTCACGCCTGTAATCCTAGTACTTTGGGAGGCAAAAGCAGGTGGATTGTTTGAGCCCAGGAGTAAGAGACCAGCCTGGGCAACAAGGCAAAACCTTATCTCAAACTCCTGACCACAAGTGATCCTCCCACTCCCAAAGTGCTAGGATTACAGGTATGAACCACTTGGCCCAGCCACAAAACTTTGTCTCTACAAAAAATACAAAAATTGGCCACACATGGTAGTGCATGCCTGTAGTCCCAGCTACTCAGGAGGCTGTGAGGTGGGAAGATCGCTTGAGCCCAGGGAGGTCAAGGCTGCAGTGAGATGTGATTAGACCACTGCACTCCAGCCCAGGCAACACAGTGAGACTCTGTCTCAAAAAATACATAAATAAAAATAAATACAAATATACATACATACATAAAAACATTAATTCAAAAAAAGAAAGAGAAGAGATATGACCTGGATACGGTGACTTATGCCAGTAATCTCAGCTCTTGAGGATGCTGAGGTAAGAGGATCACTTGAAACCAAGAGTCCAAGACCAGCCTGGGCAACATAGCAATACCCCCTCTCTACAAAAAGAAAAAAAAACTTAGCCGGGTATAGTGGTCCCAGCTACTTGGGAAGCTGAGGTGGGAAGCTTGCTTGAGCCAGGAGTTTGAGGTTGCAGTGAGCCATAATTGCATCATTGCACTTCTGCCTGGGTGACAAAGTGAAACCCAGTCTTAAACAAAACACCAGAGATGTGACTATAAACATTTTAAAATTTTGGCAGATCAGGAACAATAGCCATAAAAGAAAAGAAAAACTTTGCACCAAATAAAACACTTTATAAAGTTTACAGCAGTCAGTTTTTAAAAGAACACTAAGGATCTAAAATCTACCACAAGTTAAAGGAAACAAATATTTTATTAAAAATAAAATTTACAGCTGTGCAGTGGCTCACGCCTATAATCCCAGCACTCTGGGAGGCTGAAGCAGGCGGATCACCTAAGATCAGGAGTTTGACCAGCCTGGCCAACATGGTGAAACCCTGTCTCTACCAAAAATACAAAAATTAGCCAGGTGTAGTGGGGCATGCCTGTAATCCCAGCTATTTGGGAGACTGAGGCAGGAGAATCACTTGAACCCACGAGGAGGAGGCTGCAGTGAGCCGAGATCACGGCACTGCATCCAAGCCTGAGCAACAGAGACTCTATCTAAAAGAAATAAAACAAAAATAAAATTACTAATCAACATATTTATCTCTAACATCCATGGCAAAGAAAACGTAAAATAAAAGCATTTCCTGAAGTCACACAATAAAGTAAGTCATAGAGAAAATCTTTTATTCCTAATACACTAAATACATTTCTTCCACATGTACAAAGATTAATTTCAATTCAGAATAGTCTAATGTTATTTATTTTTGGAAATCTGTAAAGAACACTCTTCCTCCAAAAATATCTTCAATGCAATAATAAATGGAAGATATAATTATGTACATTATTGCAATTTGATATCTTATTCATACTTTTCCCTCCAAAAAACAAACCTATTTTATTTTCTATATTGCCATATGTAGCCACAAAATTTACAATATACTTTCTACAATTTAATGTAATTTTTCCAGAGATTCTTGGCAAACCACCCCAAAGTTAGTTGGGAAACTGTAAATACAAGGTTTTAACACCTTTTTTTTTTTTTTTTTTGAGACAGAGTCTCGCTCTGTCAACCAGGCTGGAGTGCAGTGGCGCGATCTTGGCTCACTGCAATCTCTGCCTCCTGAGTTTGAGCAATTCTCCTGCCTCAGCCTCCCGAGTAGCTGGGATTACAGGCGCATGCCAGGGTCTGGCTAATTTTTGTATTTTTAGTAGAGATGGGCTTTCGCCATGTTGGCCAGGCTGGTCTTGAACTCCTGACCTCGGGTGATCCACCCGCCTCGGCTTCCCAAAGTGCTGGGATTACAGGTGTTAGCCATTGTGCCTGGCCAATTCTAGGCACCTTCTTTGTGGACATTAACTCTGGTCATTACATTCAGTACACAGAGAAAACCCAAATGTTAGATTTTATATAGAGTTAATTTTTAAATTTCTTTAAAGCAAAGTTTCTCAATCTCAGCATTACTGATATTTGTGGGCCACACAGCTCTTTTTTTTGGTTGTTTTGTTTTGTTTTTGGGATGGAGTCTAGCTCTGTCACCCAGGCTTTAGTGCAGTGGCATGACCTCGATTCACTGCAACCTCCGTTTCCTGGGTTCAAGCAATTCTCCTGCTTCAGTCTCCTGAGTAGCTGGGATTACATGCACCTGCCACCACGTCCAGCTAATTTTTGTATTTTTAGTAGAGACAGGGTTTCACTGTGTTGGCCAGGCTGTTCTCAAACTCCTGACCTCGTGATCCACCCACCTCGGCTTCCCAAAGTGCTGGGATTACAAGGTGAGCCACCGTGCCCAGCCAGGCCACACAATTCTTTACTGTGGGAGACTGTCTTGTGCATTATAGGATGTCTACCCAGCCTCTACCCATTAAATGTCAGTGGAATGCCACTAGTCATGACAACCAAATATGTCTCCCCACACTGCTTTAGAAAAACTTTTTCAGTTAATGGTCAAGCTGCCCCTTAGGAGTATAAAAGTCTGCCACCAAGATAACCCCATTGGCCACCTAAGAAAATAAATTCAAAATAATGACTTCATGTATTATAAGGAAATTATTACCTGGTTTGGTGAAAACATTGGAGGTCATCTCTTCATTCTATATCTCCAGCCTACCACTACCTGTACACTCACTGTATGCTTCCAGGTTTCTCTGAAATAGCCCTAAGAGGTCATGCAACCTTGACTTGAACGTTTCCAGTGATGGAGAATAAGATTTCCATTACCAGAAAGCTCTAATTACTAAAATCAAAACAAAGCAAGCAAACAAAAACCAGTGTTCTTTATACCAAGCTAAAACTCAGTCTCCCTAAAGCTCCACCTCCTTGGCCCCAGTTACTTTATACACCTCTCAACTCATTCCCTGTTATTTGCAATTATTTTCCCTGGTCTCTCAGACTGTAAGAGAGAAATCCAGCTGAACTTTGAAGGAAACAGCAATGCTCACTGGTCACTATGCAAATAAAGGTATAGGCTGCACATTCATTGTTTAAAAATATAATTTGTTGAATTAAATAAACTTATATTTAATAAAAATTCAAGTAATTTTAAAATAATACTTTATTACATAAAGCAAAGTACATGACAATTTTTTTACCTTATGTGTCTGAAAAAGGTCATCTGACATATCAGAAAAACACAACAAAAATTATTAAATAATAAGTATACTGATACCATTCAATGGGAAAATTTTTAGTTTGTGAATAAGGACTTCAACATCCTGCACATCACTTTAAATCTTGAAGAAATAAAACAATGCAATATCAATATTTAAGGTCATAATTTTAACAAATATTTTGGTTAAGTCATTAATCAGATTCTTTTAAACTCAATAATATATTTGTGGTGTGGCCAAAGATGTACCAGTCTTATATTTACATGAATTTAGAAAGGGTATTTTCTCATTACCTTTAGTTTGACTTATGTTGCTTTTTAGTGACTTATTTTTTAAATCTCCATTCTACAAGAACCTTTACTAAATGTTACTAAATATTCACCAAATTTACTACACACACATATCAGATAAAAATATTGTATGACTGTGCTGACTTTTTCAATTCTCATAAAAACCCAAAAATGGAGACATTAAATTCTAGTTTGGAATACAATAAAACTGAAACTCAGAAAGATAAGATTCGTTGCTTCAACGCTAATGCAAGAGGTGGGATTCAAACTCAGCTCATTCAATTTCAAGTTCAGTGGTTGCAGCTGTTCTTTCAAAATTATTCAAGAATAACTTTGTTTTCATTTGATATAACTTATTATCAAGTTCAGGAAACAAAATTTTATTTATAGTCAGTCAAGAAGAAAACCTGTGGGACAACTATGGTTTGGTTACACCTACAAACTGTTTTACACTTACAAGCTACTTTGAGAGAAGGGAAAAAAAGTTTAATCCTATGAACAGCTAGTCTAAATTCATTTACTTTCCTTGAAATAAGCAATTATCTACCACTTTAAAAAAATAACCTATATGACAAACATTAACCTTCTTTAGGAGGACCCGCTAGCCCAATTAGGCATTTGAGTTTCAGTTTTGAATGAAAAAAAAAAAATTTAGCCAATATATACTGGTATTTTCCTTTAGTAACTTGTAAGAATGGTGTATTTACGTTTAAAATATAAAGGATGAAGTGCAAGAACCAAAGACATTCCAGTGTTATCAAATGACAGACTGTTATAAACAAATTCTTCACTCACTCATTCATTCATTCAATATTTATTTATTGAGGGCTTGCTATATGTATAAGGCAAAAATAAACAAAATGAAAATACTATGCACTTTCATTCTGTATCAAAACAATACTGTCAGTAATAAATATAAAAGACAAAAAAAATTGAATTTATTTTGGATGACTGCAGCAAAGCACACCGGGTAAAAGACTCCTTACTTCTATTTCTGCAGATTCCACCCGGTTTTCAATTATTTCGATACACTGTCTCTTAGCTGGTGGTTCTTCACTTATAACAGTTTCTTCAGCAATGTCTGTTGCTGGTACTGTTAATACTAAAATGAAAAAAAAGTATGCATTACTTCATTTTCAGAGACTTTATTAAAAATAGAACTAGTCTTGACATTGTTGATGCTACTCATCTAAAATAAATATATTCCAAAACAATGATTCCAAGTCATTGATTTCCTTTTTATGAGACTACCCATATTTGTCTTTTTTACCTTCTTGCTTTTTTACTGAAATCTACTTATTAAAGTACCTACATATATTTTTTTAATTATATAGATAATATAGTCAGTCATTCATGACTCAAACATCAAAATATTTTACAAGTATATATTGAGAGGCCTAATTGCCCACCCCTGCTAACAGATAATCATTTTATTAATTTATTATCCTTATATTAATTTGTTTAGAAATTAGTATATATTCTCATTTTTCTTTCCTACATAAAAGGTAGCATATATATACTACATATATTGTTCTGTGTCTGCTTTTTTCACTCCAAATACTTACAGTATCTTACATCATTACATAGAGAGCTTCCTTTTATTTAGCTGCATAACATCCACGATATGGATATCTCATTATGAGCACTGACTGTTCATAACCATTGCTTGTTTTTGTATTGGACTGTTGGACTTTTTCTCAATTTTCAGTAGCTTTTTATATAAATGTAAATATAGAGAAAGGCTGGCCTTGTTTTGCACAGCAGCACAGAAACACAAAAACAACTGTGCAAGCTGAAACCATGTGAAGCCATCTTAATAATCACAATGGGGAAAATTACAATTGTTCTATGACCTTTAAAATATTTTGCCAAAACATGAAAAACTCTCTTAGTGACAGTTATAAATGTAAATAAAAATTTAAAACTAGTAAAACTAATATTTATCTAGTACAATGTAATTTAAAGCATTAAATACTGAGAATTCGAGTTTTACTTCTTTTTATTCATGACATTTATAAATTAATTGAGAATTTATAACTGTTTTATTAAACTGTACAGTCTATATAATTCACATGTCAGCTATATATTTTTAATTCAGGAAGGTTTTAATTTTTTAATTTTTTTTTTTTTTGGGGGGACGGAGCTTCGCTCTTGTTACCCAGGCTGGAGTGCAATGGCGCGATCTCGGCTCACCGCAACCTCCGCCTCCCGGGTTCAGGCAATTCTCCTGCCCCAGCCTCCTGAGTCGCTGGGATTACAGGCACGCGCCACCATGCCCAGCTAATTTTTTACAGTTTTAGTAGAGACGGGGTTTCACCGTGTTGACCAGGATGGTCTCGATCTCTTGACCTCGTGATCCACCCGCCTCGGCCTCCCAAAGTGCTGGGATTACAGGCTTAAGCCACCGCGCCCGGCTAATTCAGGAAGGTTTTAAAAGTTTATTTCTTTAATATTCAGTAGAACTCTCTCATTGCTATTCTTTTCCAGGGTTTTCCTTATTCTTCTTCTCTCTGCCCTTCAACATAAACTTTAGAATCCATTTGGCTAATTATAGAAAAAAACTTGATCTTTGTTATGGGCTGAATGGTACTCCCACTCCCCAAATTCACATATTGAAGTCCTAACCCCCAGTACCTCAGAATGTGACTCTATTTAGAGACAAGGTCCTTAAACAGATAGTTAAGGTAAAATGAGATGGGCCCTAATCCAGTATTACTGGTGTTCTTACAGGAAGAGGAGATTAGGACACAGATAACACACACAAACAGGTCGACCATGTGAAGACAAGCCAGAAGACGCCCATCTGCAAACCAAAGAGAGCAGCCTCAGAAGAAACCAAACCTGCCAACACCTTGATCTTGCACTTCTAGCCTTCAGACCTGTGAGTAATCACTGGTCTGTATAATGATACAGGTTTTGGAAACAATGTTACATCTGTTTGATACAAATATTTTTAAAGTTTTCTTCTTTTCTAAAAATTAGAATTAGTTCTATAATACTTTGTGAAAGCATCTGACCCTAATCCAAATTTCAGACCAGCTATCAGCAGATTTCAGCAGAGTGGGACAGAAAGGCCTCCCAGTCACAGGTCAAGGGGCTCCTCTTCTATGGCTAGAGCAACAAACTCCTTTCTTGAAATGGTCTCTGTTTAATGCCATGCCTCCTCTGTCACTCAAAACCAAACCTGATTTAGGCCAAATTGTACCTCTAGCCCTGCCCTTCACTGGCCATGAAAGGCACATGTTCTACAATCCTACTCATTTTCTTTACTTTCTTTCTTTCTTTTAGAAACACGGTCTCACTTTGTCATCCACACTGGAGTACAATGGTGCAATCATAGCTCACTGCAGTCCCAAACTCCTGGGACCAAGCGATCCTCCTGCCTCAGCCTTCCAAGTAGCTGGTACTACAAGTGCATACCACCATACCTGGCTAATTTTATTACTTTTATTTGTGTAGAGATGGGTATCATTATGTTGCTCAGGCTGGTCTTGAACTCCTGGCCTCAAGCAATCCTCCCACCTCAGCATTCCAAAGTGTTGGGATCATAGGCATAAACCACCATTCCCAGTCCTAGTCATTTTCTTAAAGATTATGTGCCGACACTTTTTTAGGGGGAGACAAGGTACAGGGCAATGCTTAGGCACTTTCTGCAGCTTCTCTCTCTGCCTCCCGCAGTATTCATGCCCTATTCTTAGTCCTGCTTGCAGCACTTCCTGCTCACTCTGGGGCCCTATCCTTCTGGAAAAGCATGTTTGTCTTTATTGCTGAGTTTAATCCCTTTTCTTTACTTGATGTACCAGTGTGGATTTCCATCAGAGTCCTCTTGCCCTGGCTGTAATGGCTTCAGATGCTTTTGGCACACTTAAAATGTGGAATTTTGAGGTTTTCTCAGCGTTTGAGTTTCACTGAAAATATAGTTGAGGCTTTTGTTCCATCCATCTTGTTAGCCTTTGTGGCTTCCAAAAGGAGAAAAATGTTAGAATTCACAATAAAGCTGCTAAAAGTTGCTACCATATTCCTACTAAAAGTCCAAGTTCATTTTTTTTTTCTTTTTTTGGAGAAAGAGTTTCTCTCCATTGCCCAGGCTGGAATGCAGTGGCACGATAACAGCTTCAACCTCCTAGGCTCTAGTGATTCTCCCACTTCAGGCTCCCAAGTAGCTGGGACTATCGGCAAATGTCATCATGTCTGTTTAATTTAAAAAAATTTTTTTAGACATGGGGTTTCACTATGTTGCATAGGCTCCAACTTCTTTCTAAGTAGCTTTTTCTTACATGGTATTTTTAAAAGCTCACATGGTATTTGAATTGCATTAAATGGTCTAGAAAACTACTGTCCCACGCTGATCTGAATTATTTATTTCATGTATTATTTGTGGTGACATTTAAGTTCATTTTTTTCACCAGAATACTTTGGGACCAATTTCTCTTTATACCTAGTATATACTCAGAGAAATCAAGCTAATTTAATTTTAATTATCCTAAGCAATAAAATTAGGTAATTAGGTCTACTGCAAAGGGTAATACAAATATAATTCAAGGCAAAAATAAATGCTTTGGAACACATATCACAATTTCCTGAGAATTAAAAATAAACATAGTCTTTTTGGACTACAGAGAAGACTTAAAGAAAATAAAAATAAAAAAATAAACAAACATAAACTTTATATAAATGTCTACTACTAACCTTGTTGTCCATCTGGCATGGTCACAATGATGGGCTGACCAATTCCACTGGTTGGAATAGAGTGCAAATTTCCAAGCTGAATTCCATCTGTGACTATTGTGATGACTTGCTGACCCCCTGAACTAACTACTTGCTGAATTGCACCATCTACAGATTCTGCAGTAACCACTTCCTCCGTGGCCACTACTGAAAAAAAAAAAAAAAAAAAAAAAAAAAGAAAGAAAATTCAGCAAACATACATAACAGTATGAATAGAAACCTATTTTTGCTTTGTCTGCTACTTTTGCTTTCTCTGCTTCTTTCTTTTCTTTTCTTTTTTTTTTTTCCCTCCTCTCAAATAGAGACAGGGTCTCATTCTGATGCCCACGCTGGAGTGTAGTGACACAATCATGGCTCACTGCATCCTTGAACTCCTGCACTGAAGTGATCCTCTTGACTCAGCCTCCCAAGTAGCTGAGTACAGGTACATACCACCATGCCTGACTAGTTTCATTTATTTATTTTTTTAGAGATGGGGTCTTGCTATGCTGGCCAGGCTGGTCTCAAACTCCTGGCCTCAAGCAAGCCTCCTGCCTTGACCTTCCAAAGTGCTGAGAATTATAAGCATGAGCCACCACACCGGGCCTCCTGCTTCTTTCTTATCCAGGAAAACCTGTACAAGATTTTAAAATTCAGTCTCCAGTGGTGCTGGAGATATCTATGTAACCAGTTGATTACAAGTCTCATAATTTACAATACATAGGTTCCAACTATCTTTACATGTGAGTGGTTAAACAATTTCTCTTCATTTGGTTGTATGAGGTACAAAATTTAGAAGATCTAATATCATGACAAAGGTTATATCTGTTTCGTAAAACCTCACAATTAAGTTGGGTACTGGTGGCTCAAGCCTGCAATTCCAGCACTTTGGGAGGCCAAGGCGGGATGATCACTTGAGAGACTAGTTCAAGTTCAAGACTAGCCTGGCCAACATGGCAAAACCCCATCTCTACTAAAAATACAAAAATTAGCTGGATATGGTGGTGCACGCCTAGAACCCTAGCTACTCAGGAAGCTGAGGCAGGAGAATTGCTTGAACCCGAGAGGTGGAGGTTGCAGTGAGAAGAGATTGTACTACTGCCCTCCAGCCTGGGCAACAGAACAAGACTCTGTCTCAAAAAAAAAAAAAAAAAAATTCACAATTCATAAGATGATCTGAATATGACTATACTCCGTTTACATTTGTGTATGAGTTGACATACAGAATAAAGAATATTCTCTTTTTGGATTAAGTAAGGATTTGCCTTAATAATCAGTGGTATACAGATGTGGTACTATGTGACAGTAAATAGTATATTAACATTTCCATAAATAAAATCCCTAAATATGCTCTAAATAATTTATGACAGCCTTACAGAGGATTCCGACAGCTAAAGCAGCACCTGTGGCCTTGGCTGGGTAGAGGAATCACAAGTTAATACTGCCAAAATCCTTTCTCACAGGCAATCCTACACCCAACTAATGAACCCAAAAGATATGTACAAGAACATGCATAGTAGATTTATAATAGTAAAAAACTACAAACAAGCCAGATATTCTCTGATAATAAACAATGGTAGAGTCAAACATTGAAATAATATGCAGCAATTTGACTATATGCAAAACATGGATGAACCTGACCAAAAAACAAAAATGAGTGATATAAACCAGACACAAAAGAATATGTACTGTCTACCTTCCATTTATGAACTGAGCAATGTTTACACAAATAATGTTTACAATTATTCAATATATACCCTTTGTGATAATTCCTCAAACTGTACACTTATAATCTATAAACATTTCTGTACATTAAACAACACTTCAATTAAAAAAGCATCAAAAGAAATGATAGTAACGGATTACTATCTATACAATTTTTAAAAATTTTCCTATCAGCCTCACGCCCATAATCCCAGCACTCCAGGAGGCCGAGTCAGGATGATCACTTGAGCCCAGGAGTTCAAGACCAGCCTGAGTAACATAGGGAAATCTTGTCTACAAAAAATTTAAAAATTAGCCAGGTTTGGTGGCTTACACCTGTAGTCTGAGCTACCTGGGAGGCTGGGGTGAGAGGATTGCTTGCCTGGGAGGTTGAGGCTGCAGTGAGCAGTAATCACACCACTACATTCCAGCCCGGGTGATAGAGTGAGACTCTGTCTCCAAAACAAGAAAAAAAAAAAAAATCCATGTATAATAATACCTTGTAAAAAGGAGAGAAAGGAGGAAATGGGAAAGATCCTGATGGAATGACATCTAATTAAAGAAATGACAAATTAAGAAAAATCATTGAAACTCCTAATGTAATAATTGATTCAAGCAAGGATCAGTAGTGGTGCTAAAAGCATTGGTAAAATCTTGTGGAGAAATAGAATATTCAAATGTTCTCAAAGTATCCCACCAAAGATTACTATTAGTTGCAAAGGGGAAAATCTACCTGAAAAGACCCGGCAGTCATCATTCTACCAAGTGGTCATTATCAGGATGGGCTGATATTATGTGCTTCCTTACGTAGTGTAATGGGAGGTTATAAAAAATCACTGGTGTACTTCCTGGAAATGTCTGAACTAAACCTGACTATACAGGACATCTGGGGGACAACTAGAAAATGGACCATATGTCAGATGATGTTTTAAATCAATGTTGATGTTTTTAGAAAATAAAATGGAGCTGTGGATAGAAAGCTATCCTTGTTCTTAGGAGATACATGCCAAAGTAAAGGTGAAGTATGATGTCTGCAGCCTACCTTCATATAACTTGGCAAACTAAAAGTGTGTGTGTGTGTGTGTGTGTGTGTGCACATGCATACATGTGTCAGAGAACATACTGGAATGACAAGATGTTAACAGTTGGTGAATACAGGTGAAAATTATACAGGTTCATCCTCCAATTTTTCCATGGGTTTGAAAACTGTCAACATATAAAAAAATTTAATTATAACTAGTTCAAAAAGAGGAATAACATTAAAAATTATTTCTAAATGGCATGGTTTTTAATGTGTTATTTAAGGCAATACTTTACAAAAATTGTAATTAAAACAAACCGCTCTCTACTAAAATCAAGCTACCATCAGTTATACAATTGCTCTTAAATATGCTAAGTTTCTATCAACTCACAGTAGGACATCACGGATATCAGTGATCATAGGATTTACTAAGACAGAGAGACCATAAATATAGGAACTATTTTTTTTTTAAATGGCAGGATAAATACTCAGAAACTAGTTTTCAAGATGTACTCAACAGGTCTGGCTTCAACTCTGGTACTGTGTCACTTAGTAATCAAGGATCACAATACAAACCGCAGATCACTCAAAATGCAAACAACCTTTATGTTTTGAGCTCTCTTGCAATTTTTGTTTGCCTTAATTAGGTTTTATCACCAAGCACTTAAGAAAATTTCAGGAAGATAATTACAAAATGAAATATAGGACATAAAATAGTAATATATTCAACAGTACTACTAAGATTTTCAAACATATTAAGTATTGCTTTGATTTTTTCAAAAAACTATCCATATGAAAAAGAAATGTTCACCCAAGTTGAATGCTAACTACAGATAGTAAATATTTTAAAGCATAATCATATGTAAGAAATTTCTAAGATCACACACAAGGCACAACTCAAGAACTTTCATCTTTGCACTATTTGCAATGACTGTTATTAGAGTTCTGGCCTTTCATCTAAAAAGCTTTCTTTTTAAGTTGTGCTATGGTTAAGATATTTAAGAAAAAATTAAAAGGAAACCAATTACGTAAGACAAAGTACCCCCCAGAAGCCCTAAAAATAATCAGTAAATAAACAGTAAAATGTTGAAACATGAAAGAATAAAAGAGAAAGCCTAACAACTCTTAGAAGGTTATTGATTTTAAAAAATATATTTGTGTTCCAAAATGTAAAGCTCCCTGGATAAAAAATAACTATAATAACATAAATATTCACTGATCTCATTCAAAAATCAAGCTGTAAAATTTAAAGAATACCTAGATAATCTGCAGCACCTTTGAAGAAATCTGACATCTCTTCTTCAACAAGAATTCTGAATTCAGATGCCATAAAAATGAAATAAGGGAAGAAAACTGTCTTTAAAATGTCCTAAAAGATGGAAATTTCTACATAGAAACATTTAAACAATAAAATAGAAACTGTTTACTGAAGAAAAAAATAAACTTTTCGAAGGTATTGTGGCTGCAGTTTAACCTGAAATTAAAAACAAAAAGCAAAAACAAAACAATCTCATGAGGCCCAGTACGTATCCCTTAAAGCCAATTGAGTTGTATTACCCTATTTTTGACATAGACCAAAAAACAATGTGCAAAACAGACCTGGTTCAAATTTCACTTTTAGGGAAAAAGGAAGGAACTTTTATTTATTGTTTTTCTTTTTGAACTCCTGTTTTGATGTATAAGAAAGGAGAGAACTTTTAAAGCTACCAGATGCATTACACCTTTGGAAAAAACACTTTATTACTAATTAACAAAAGTTGCTCTAAAGACAAAAAAGAAGGGTAAACACAGATGTCTAATCAAGGTATTGTATAATTGAGCCACAAGGAAGAATAAAGCTAAGCAAAGAAAAGTTATTACAGGTCTGTAGGCCAGAGCTACAAAATAAGAGATTTATGAAATAATATTCTGAAGGACCAGATAACTACACTACAGATGTAAGGCCTACGTCTTAACTAATCACAGCTTCTGATTATATATCCCAAATGACTCTCAATTCTATTCACTTACTGTCTCTGTCAAATCTTCATTCATGCTATCATCATAACTCTTCCCTGGTTGACTGTATTAGACTTCAAACAAAACTTCTTTCCAACGCATTCTTTTAAACCTACCAAAGTGATCATTTTTAAAGTCCTATATACTCTCACCTTTAACCACCTTGAGTGACTCTTCCACTTACTGGGTTTAGCCACCGTGGCCTCCAAGTCCCCTAAAAAGTCCAGCTCTTTCCTGCCTCAAAAGCTTCACATGTCCCTCTTGCTAAAATGTTCTTCCCAAAACTTTACCCTGACTAATGCCTACTTTAATTTTCAGTTTAAACGTTTCTTCCTCTAGGAAGATTCCATGATCCACTAGAGCGGCCTGCAAGCCTTAGTAGAAAGACAGGAAAATGTGATTGCTTCTGTATACTAATAATGTACTACATGAGTGGTATTCTCATTGGAAAAAATATATCTGCAATTCCCAAAAAAAAAGGAAAAAAAGCTTTTACTTTGTCTATTCATTTTGGAATGACTTTCAAAACGAAAATTACACAAAATGATATGACTTGGAATGAGTTCCTATCTATCTAAATCTTACCCATTCTTTAGCGCACAACTCAACATATTCCCCTCCATCACACCCACCCCCAATTCCAGCTAAAAATAATCTCTTTCCTGTGAACAATAATAGTAATTCAATGAGCTATTTTAATCAAGCACTGACAACCTGCTGTTATATTTGATTACAACATCAAGAAAAGACAGAGGTATCATTTGGTTTCTCAATGAAAGCATTACAATAGACATTATAAGGTTCTCATGGGACTACCATTGAAATGTGTGGTATATGTCAAAATTGGTACAAATATCATTTCCATTTTCTAATGGAAAGTCAATTCCATTGACTTCCACATGGAGATCATTTCCATTTTGCAAGTCATTCCAAAATGAAGGGACATGAAGGTGCTATTTAAAGCCATAATTCCTGAGTGAAATAACATGGTACCCTGGACAATTACAATTGACTTCTCTTTATATATAGAACCATGCCAACCAGTTTCCATTTACAATGCAGTCCATCTGCTGCTACATTCTGGCTATTTTGTACCCAGAAAAAAATGTTTATTGTACCACTTAGCTAGTAAAAAAAAAAGAATATGAGCAGTAACAATCAGTGTACCGATGGTGCTTACACTATATTTTGGTTTACCATCATTTAAAAAGGGCAAGACAGTAGCAGAACGCTTATTTCAACAGACTACCTATTACTAGAAAAAGCTACAGAAACAGATACATTCCAAAAGTAATAGTCGGAATGGTGATGTTTTTGCTTGAAATAAGATAAAATGAAAATTACACAAATAATTAAAGATTGTATAATTCAAATATTATAAACCAAATTATAAACATTCTAAAAGAGCCCACAGATAATGTGAATAAACTGCATGGGAGAGACGGTACATTATAGTGGTCACAGACACATACCTTGGGAATCAGTCAGACTTGGAGTACAATCCTCCTTTCTCTATTTAAATTATAGTCATATGCCTGTTGATAAACTTATTCAACCTCCACAAACCTGTTTCATTATATATATAATGGAAGTACTACTACTGTATTTTCCAAATTCTAACAAGCCCTTGAAAAGATATATATAAACATTTCTAGAATCAGGATGAGTCTGATGATTGATTCTAAAGAAACTAGACAGCCAGGAATCAGAGAAATAATTTGTGGCAGATTTAGCTTTGAGTATGTGCAAACTGAACTCTGGGTTGTTTATACTGGTGGTAACAAACTTTTACTTAATTCTCTTTTTTTTTTTTTTTTTGAGACAGAGTCTCACTGTGTTGCCCAGACTGGAGTGCACTGGCACAGTATTGGCTCACTGCAACCTCCGCCCCCCAGGTTCAAGTGATTCTCCTGCCTCAGCCTCCCGAGTAGCTGGGATTACAGGCACCCACCACCAAGTCCAGCTAATTTTTGAATTTTTAGTAGAGATGGGATTTCACCGTATTGGCCAGGCTGGTCTTGAACTCCTGACCTCAAATGACCCACCCACCTTGGCCTCCCAAAGTGCTGGGATTGCAGGCATGAGTCACCATGCCTACCCATTACTTATTTCTTTTGTTTTTTTAAGATGGAGTCTTGCTCTGTCACCCAGGCTGGGGTGCAGTGGTGCGATCTTAGCTCACTGCAATCTCTGACTCATGGGTTCAAGCCATTCTCCTCCCTCAGCCTCCCTAGTAGCTGGGATTACAGGCACGCGCCACGAGGCCCAGCTAATTTTTTTTTTTTTTTTTTTTTTGAGACAGTCTCGCTCTGTCACCCAGACTGGAGTGTAGTGACACAAACTAGGCTTGGCTCCCTTCAACCTCCGCCTCCCAGGCTCAAGCAATTCTCCTGCCTCAGCCTTCCAAGTAGCTACGACTACAGGCATGCGCCACCATACCCAGCTAATTTTTGTATTTTTAGTAGAGACAAGGCTTCACCATGTTGGCCAGGAAGGTCTTGCTCTCTTAACCTAGTGGTCCACCTGCCCTGGCCTCCCAAGTGCTGAGATTACAGGCGTGAGCCACCACACCTGGCCAGAGATAAGTTATTTAATTAAAGAAATTTATAAGTTTAACCAAATAGAAACCACCAAGAAAATCCATTTTCTTTGATATGCTTCCACAATTACAAAAGTGTTAAATATATGCAGGCATAGGATATAAAAGCAGCATGTCCGTACGATGATACATACAACTCCTAACCAACGTTCAAAAGTGATTCATAAAAATCTTATGACTCCCAAATATAAAGACTTGGATTCAAACTTTGATTATAATGCTACAGAAGCTGGAGAATGGATAAATGTTATCTTCAAAAAGAGGCCAGGCACAGTGGCTCATGCCTATCATCCCAGCACTTTGGGAGGCTAAGGCAGGGAGATCACTGAGGTCAGAAGTTCGAGACCAGACTGGCCAACGTGGTGAAGCTCCGTCTCTAAATACGAAAACAGATGGGTATGGTGGTGCACACCTATAATCCCAGCTACTGGGGAGGCTGAGGCAGGAGAACTGCTTGAACCTGGGAGGTGGAGGCTACAGCGATCTGAGACTGCATCACTGCACTCCTGCCTGGGTGACAGAGTGAGACTCTGAGAAAGAAAAGAAAGGAAGGAAAGGAGAGAGAGAGGGAGGAAGAGAGGGAGGAAGGGAGGGAGGGAGGAAAGGAAGGAAGGAAGGGAGGGAGGGAGGGAGGGAAGGAGAGAAAGAGAAGAAAGAAAGAAAGAAAGAAAGAAAAGAGAAAGAAAGAAAGAAAGA